AGAAAGGAGAGGACCACTCTGTGAGACATAGGCAGGCAGTAGATGCCATAATGTGCTTCTCCTGTGACAGTCAAATCTGTTGAACTCTTGGGTGCCAGTGGGTTCATTCTAAAAATTAGTAAAAAGATTCATGTTGAATCAGTACAATGTTGTGAAAAACAGAACCCTGAGAGATCAAAACATGAGGCAGAAGGCACATGAGAAGACACACAAAAATGAAAGAAGGGTTTTGAGCTGCCAAGTGTGGTTATGCGTGGAATTTTGGCCAAGTTCAGCTGTTGTCTAGGGGCAAGAGTGTGGAAACCACCACAAAGTGGCTCTGAGCAGAATTTAAACTTTACTAATTGGCTTTCTATGTTTATCTGTCAGTCTGTCCTAGGCTGAGGCCCCTTGCCTGGTGACGGGAGCTGATTCATAGTAAATGAACCTCTATGAATCACTATCCTGGCTGAGGCCTGTAGTGGCCTGTGAGGCCAGAGATACTTCAAAGGGCAAGATAAGGCCACAGCTGCGGACACTCTGGCTCCAACCCCAATTAACTAGGTAGAGACTGCAGCTGCAAAGATTACTCCTACAGTCTCACTTCTACCATGTCTTCATGATAAGACAATGCTACTAAGTTGACTTGATTCATGACTTGGAGACGTCCTTTAAGTGACTCCCAAGATCCTGCTCATTGCCTGCACTTTCCTCAATTTCTCCACCCTTTGTCCTTGGTCCTAATATAACTGGACTGACCCAAAAAATTCTTTGTCTTTACCCTCTAAGTCTCAACCTTAATTAAAGGGTTTTGACCCTCCTGCAGCCCTAAAAAATCATACAACTTGTCTCCTTTTATTTAACCTCTTCTGAATACTCATTTGGGAGATCGGAGATCTAGGTCAGAATCTGATACAAGAGGCCACAGTGGACACTGAGGAGCCACACAGATATCACAGGGGACATTCAAGACTCACACAGAGAGCTGGAGATTCTTACAGAAACAGAGTAGGTACTCTAGAAAATACATGTGGAAGTGGAGTCAGACATCCACACCTTTCCACAAATCCTCCTGATATCTTCTCTAAAGACAAGGTCACCATCTCCCTATGAAAACAATTGGTCACTTTATTCCTCATAGCTGGATTTGCTTCAGCTGATGTTATGCTGTTTGCAGGATTATTAACATATAATCTTCACAGTCAATCTCTTTTACAGCAGTTTGTCACCTTTTTTGAACATTAGCGTCACCTAGGAACTTTAAAAACTGGTTACCAATTAAGTCAAAATGCCTGGGGATGGGAACTAGCTATCACTGTGTTTAGTTATTCAGGTGACTCATAGCACAACCATGTTATGCATTATCCTCCTTTACAAATGAAGAAAGTAAAGTCAACATGGGTCCTTGCTTTTGAGTCATGCAAATTAAAACTAAATTGATACCATAAATTTATAGGCAAAAGTTTTAATTGGAAAGTAAGAATAAAAATTTTAAAAGACTCCAGGTTAAATAGTTGCTGTAAGGAGCTTACTTTGATAAAGAAGTTATCATTAACTTGTAAACAAGGGATCTGTTTTGTGGGGTGCTACAGTAGGATGAGGTCTGGGTGATCATTCTGTCAGTCCTGGTTTTGTTGCTCTGGAGGACTGTTCATGGCTGGGGCAAGGTGAGTCTCTTTCCGTGAAATAGTTGTTTCTGCAGTAGTCTCTGTCATATAAAGTTCTGCTTTTCTTAGAGCTCAGGTGATTACTGGTTTAGGAATGGCCAGAGATTCTTTTATTTTAAGTTTTATTTTAAAGAGAATTAAAAAATAAAAATAATACAGAATTTCAAGACCAGATGATAGGAGATTAACAATGGTTATTACAGTGCATATTCTTATCTTCAAAATAGTTGCTCAGATTACCAGATGTAGGCATGCAAAATTGATCAAAGTATAAGCACTAACTGTTCCTTCAGTGAACTAACGGAATAAGTAGTACAGTTATTTTAGCTATCCTGTGTATATATGTATTTTGTTCTCTTCCTTCTTTTCTCCTTTCCCCATCCCAGTTGTTCTCTCCTTTTGAGCAATTTCTTTCTCTTTCACAATATCTATTTCACCCTTTTAATATAATTTCCAGTCAGGATTGTGAAGCCTCCTGCCTTACAAACCCTTACAAACATTTATTGTATTTTTGGATCTTATTTACTGTTTCAGTTTCTTATACCAGGAAGGCAATTCAATATTTACACATGCAAATCTAATTTATATCACTTATGAGTATGATTTCAAGTTGCATCCATTTACCTATAAAAGCCTAAAGTTTTTCTTTATAGCTGAGAAATAATCTATTGTATGAAAATAATGCATCTTCTTTAGCCATTTCTCAGTTGATGGGCATTTGGGTTGTTTCCAAGATTTAGCTATTACAAATTGTACTGCTATATGGCTATGGTATGTTTTCAGTTCCAGTTCTTCTGGAAAAGTATCCAGAAGAGAAATAGCTAGGTAGAATGGGACTTTTAATCCGACATTTTTGGGGAATTTCCACACTGACCTCCACAGTGGTTGTAGCGGTCTAGGCTCCCACCAACAGTGGAGAACCATTTCTTTTCCCCCCACAGGCTTGACAGCATCTGTTATTGGCTGATTTTTTTTTTTTTACAATAGCCTTTCTTTCTAGGGTGAAATGGAATCTCAGCGTTGTTTTAATTTGCATTTCTTGATTGACCAATGATGCTGGACATTTGTTCATATATTTATTTACCATTTGTAGTTCTTCATTTGAAAAGTGTGCATTCAATTTCAGATGCTCCTATCTGGATTGGGTCTTTGAAGTTATGAGGCTTGTTTTTTTTTTTTTAATTATCTATATGAGCTAGATAGAAGTCTTTTGTGTGAGGGAGAGTTGCCTAAAATTTTTTCCCAATTCGTGGGTTTCCTTTTCACCCTGTTGGCAACTTTTTAATAAATGAAATCCAAGATGTTGAATCTTTGAACTATTTACTGTGCAGCTTGGTTTACATTCATGAAATCTTTTCCTCCACGTATGTCTTCAAGATCTCTAACTACTTTGTCTTCCAGTAGACTTAGCACTTCTGTTTTCATATTTAGATCTTTGATTCATTGTTCACTTTAGTTTAGTTCATTGTAATAGACATGGGTCTAGTTTTAGTCTTTGGTGTGTGGAAAACCAGTTTTAATAAATATTAAAGAAGCTATCTTTCTTCCAGGGAGCAAGCTTGGCATATTTGCCAAAGATAAGTTGCCCGAGTGTGTTTGTAGTTGCACATTCATGTCCTATTCTGTTCCAGTGATCCTCCGGTCTGTTTTCCTTGTCAGTATCATGCTGATTTTATCACTGTAACTTTGTAATATAATTTCACAGGATTGTGAAGACTCCTGCCTTAACTTTTTTACCCAGGTTTGCCTTTTCTACTCTAAGTCTATCTGGTTCTACATGAATTTCAGGAATGTTTTCTCTAGATCTGTTAAGTATGCTAATGGTGTTTTGATCAAGATTGCACAAATCTGTATAACAATTTTGAGAGTATGATCATTTTCACAATGTTGGTTCTTCCTATTCGTGAGTAAGGAATGTCTTTCCATTTTGAAATCCTCTTCAATTTTTTTCTAGAGTACTGTAATTTTCAATGTATAGATCTTTTACTTCCTTTGTTAGATTGATTCTTATGTATTTCATTTTTTTGAATGGTATTGTGAAGGGTGTGGTTTCCCTAATTTCTTTCTTAGTGAATTTGTTGTGTACAGAAATGCTATTGATTTTTGAAAGGTGACTTTGTATTTAGCTACACTCCTGAATTGGTTATTAAATCTAGAAGATTCCTAAGCATCTCTCCAAGAAGGAATGGTCTGAAACTAGATGTTGTGAAGGCTGCCTATTGAATGTCCCTTGTAAACTTCTTTAGTTACTATTAAGTCTTGTATATTTAGTCTTGTAAACTTCTTTAGTTACTATTAAGAGAACTGAACTAAATGTATAGTGAATGTATAAATTTTAAAAATTATTAACTCAATAGATACAGAGCCATTAGTCCCCTCAAAATATTCCTTTTCATTTGAACCACACATATCCCACCATTTTTTCCATTTTCTGAAGCAGTTCTGGAAGTCTTTTCTCATGAATGTCCTCTTGAGGCATGATTTAAAAAATGGCAAACACTACTGTCAAGTGCCATGTAACAAAAAGGCAGGCTTGTAAAAACATTACAGTATTTCTTCACCAGCCGAATTCACTGGATTTGGCAACATACAACTTTTTCCCCATGGCCAAATGACCATAAACTGTAAAGGTTTCAAGTCAGTTCAGGGCCTTGCTGTGCCATGACAGTGCAACTAAAGACATTCATGAAAGAAGATTCCCATAAGCACTTCAGAAAGTGGCCAGAATAATAGAAGTGTGTTCAAAATGAGAGGGATTGCCTTGCAAGCAGGTAGTCATGAGTTCGATCCCTGGTACCGATAAAAACGAGAAAGACAAAAAAAAAAAAAAAAGAGGGATTATTCTGATGATTAATGGCAACGTGTCTTTCATTGTAACACATTTTGTTAGATGTAAACATTCATTGTATTTTTTATACCTAGTATCTTGTCTGTCATTGCAATATACATTTTAAAAATGTAAACATTTATTGTATTTTTGTATACTTGATATCCAAATATTCATTGTATTTTTGTATGCCTAGGTACGCCTAGGAATAACAAACATGGGTCTGTTGACTTTTAGAGAGTCACTCTCTAAAAGACTAGCGTACCTATGTACAGAGCTGAGAAAAATTTAACAGAATTTTACAAAACAAAAGTCAAGTTTTTTCTACTTTTACATATTTATTGGGCATTTGTTCACGCAAGCTAAGAGTAAAAGGTTTCAGTAAAAAACACATTTATGTTCTTGATTGTTTCAGAAGAAAACACAAATTATGTTTTTAATGAATTCAAGAGCTGGCCCAGGAGTCATAGGTGCCTGGGGTAGTGGGGTTGAGACGGGGCAGCCCTGAGAGGAGTGTACCCAAGACCATGAAGGAAGAGAAGGAGCACAGACCTAAAGAGAAACGAGTAATCCTGTTAAGGCACCAGGGCACCTCACTCAGTAGCTGTGGGGCTTCAGGGGACAGCACCAAAGAGCAAGATAGGCAGAACCACAATAAGAAGAGGCTCTCAGCAAGGTAATAATTTGAATATTACCTCCTACTTTGACCAAGGAGCAACTTTAAGGAAATCTTCAACCTGTACCTGAACATGATTATTTTGAGTTTTTTCCTAATGATACTAGTGTGTATCCTCATACATCAACTTTAAAAACCAGGAGAGCATTATTTTGTTCAGGGATTGATTTGATAGATGTGTATTCCTTGAGAATAAAGCTCAGGAATATCTTGCTATAGTAGAATTTGCACCTTTTCAAAAAGCTACAAAAAAGAAGCCTAAGAAAAGAGATACTAAAGTTGGGACTACCGATGATGATCCAGAATTTAGAATATTTTAGTAGAGTTGTGCCACAGATAATGAAAAAATGACATCTATTCCAGAGACACTGTTAGAAGAAATCAAAGCTAAAAACAGAGAAATAAAAGCTAAAAAGACAACACCACTTTTGAGCTTCCTGAAAAACAAGCAGAGGAGAGAAGAGAAAAGGGAAGAAAGAAGGCAGTGAGAAATAGAAAGAAAAAAGACAGATCAAGAAGAGAGAAGAAAATAGAAAGAAGAAAAACATAAAAGACAAAATATAGAAAAGTTGAAGAAGGTAGATAGAGTACCAGAAAGGGGCAAATCAAAGGATGAACCAAAGATTAAGCTGCTCAAGAAGCCAGAAAGAGGAGATGAAAAAGAATTGGATAAAAGAGAAAAAGCCAAGAAACCCGACCATGATGAAAGGGCCAGTGGGCAGAGCTGCACACTGCCCAGGACTTCTGAGGGGGAGCTTGAAGGGGAAAAGCTGAAGAGACCTGAAGGTGAGAGTATCAGGGACTACAGCTCTGCTGTAGGGACCAGGGCTATGAAGGAGAGCAGGAGTGCAAACAGAGAGAGAGAGAGAGAGAGAGAGAGAGAGAGAGAGACAGAGAGACAGAGAGAGAGACAGGGACAGAGACAGGGACAGAGACAGGGAAGAGACAAGGACAGAGACAGAGACAGACAAAGGAGAGAGAGAGACAGACAGACAGACAGAGACAGGGACAGAGACAGTGACAGGGACAGAGGCAGACAGAGACAGAAGAGAGAGAGAGAGAGGGAGAGAGACTGAGAGGGCAAGAAAGGGGAGCCCTGCAGGCAGAAAGAGTGCTATGACAAAGAGAAGGCTTATAAAAGAAAGGAAGAAATTTAAAAAGAGAAAGAAGCACTTCCAGATTAAGGAACGAAGAATGAAAATACAGAATCAGAGTCACAGCAGAAAAAACTGAAAAGAAAAAGGAAGTGGTTAAGAGAGAACACATAAGAAACAAAGATCGCCTGGCAAGGCAGCATTACCGACCAGGAGCTCAGAGCCAAGATCAACTGTGTGCCCCTGATGACAGCACCAAGTCTGGAGATTCAGCAGTAGAAAAAAAAAAAAAAAAAAAAAAAAAAAAAAAAAAAAAACCAGGAAAGTGGTATTAGCCATAGAAAAGAAAGAGGAGTGATAGATTAGACTGGCTATAGGTGTCTGGACTGTCTAGGCAGGCAAGGAGAATGCTTTGCATCAAAGCAGGGATGTAATTGCAGGCTCAGAATTGAAAGTATGATTTCATTGTTTTTGCAATTTCTCCAAATTAATTTTACAGTGTCAGAAGAGATGTTGGCAAAGGATATGCATTGCAATTTGCAGGCAGGAAATGTCAAGAGAGGACTTAATTTTGTATGACAGGAGAAAAAAGAACTGGCTCTAAAATCAAAAGGTGTTTCTCATCCTGAATTGGATATTCTTGGTTTGGATGGAGCAGAGTCACTGGAAGTCTTGTTTAGGTCCAGTTATTTTGCATTGTTGGTGATAACTGCTGACTTTGTGTAGTATAGAAGCAATAAGCATGTAATTTTGGTACGAGTATAGTGAAGGGTATAACAAATTTTCACTGATATAGAAATTTAAGTAATCATGTCTATATCCAGTGTCCTAAAATTCTAGGATTAGTGTTACCTTTTGGTTTCATTATATGAGTTTATCATCAATAATATTCTTAAACTATTCATTTTGCCTTTAGCATTTTTTTCTCCCAGTAGGTAAAATGTAGTCCCTGTTTGGTTCTTGACAGTCCAGTTTTTTTTTTTTATCTTAGGTCTTATGATCTGAGTGCATAGTATCTCTAGGAAGGAAACTGCACCAATACCTGTAGTAATAATAACGGCTTTAGTCTTAACCTGTTTTGTATTGTCGTCAATAAATATCAAAGCACTGAAAAAAAATAAATTCAAGAGTCTCAGATTTTGTTCTTCTTCTGGATTGTGCTCTTTAACCTAAAACATTCTCCTAAAGACTTTTCCTTTCTATTTAATTGTAAGGAAAATAGACAAATATTTTCTCTTTGCTATTTTTACGTTATTATTAACTGTTTTATTTTCTAGTTGCACTTTCTTGTTGGATGTTAAGGAAGGAGCAAGGGCTGGCATGGTGGCACACATCTGTAATCCCAGCACTTGGGAGGGTGGGATAGGAGGATTGCCATGAGTTTGAGGTCAGCCTGGGCTACAAAGTAAGTTAAAGTCCAGCCTGAACTTCATAGTGAAACTTTCTCAAAAAGACCAAAAAAAATCAAGTAGGAAATCAAAATAAACCACTTTCTTACTATTAAGCTCCTCTGTAGTTACTATTAGGACCTTGTGAAAAGTGCTCTTTGAGCTCCTTTCCTCTACCACCTGTGCCATCTGCTGAGATAAGACAGAGTTTTGTTGCTCATTCAACTTCTCTTGGGACATTCCCCTGTCCAATGACCTTCCTCTTTGTAGAATACACATTGGCTGGGCTGGCATCTGGCCTTTGGGGGCCCTGCAATTACTCTGCTTAAGAGACTTGGTGATTTGTTAGAATGGCCGGGCTCTTTTAGAGGAGTCCCATCATGACGATGTTAAAGGACAAGAACCAAAATATTGGCTGTCCTCTTTGTCCTTTGTCTTCCTTGGCTTTCAGTTAAAGAAACTCAGACCCTCAGTTTTGTCTGAATTAGAGTCTTTTTAAGTAGAATGTGATGGCTAGCAGATGTGCTTAGTATTTAATCCTTTAGTTATTGGATTGACATTTCCTGAAATACAGCAGTTAGACACATCTACTTATAAAGCAATCAAGAATGCATAAACACAGACATGGAAATGTCAAGTGTTACAAATAATTTTATTTTGGAAGATACCAACATGGTAAGGTGTATTCCTAAGTTATGAAGATGTCAACAATTATTAGCATTATAGATAACCATAAGTCCTTCACATATCAACTTAGTTTTTACCTTTGAAACAAAATTTAGAATCTACAGCTTACTAGTGTAACAATAATCACATGATTTTGATTTTGATAAGTCTTTAAAGTTTAGTAGCACTAGCAAAAGTCAGAGAACAACTTCAGATCTTTGGTAAGCTTAGGAAATGGTGTTAATGACCACAAATAGACTTTGTGCCAGATGTACAAGGGTATCTCTTTTTACAATAACAAAATGTTTATTTAGGTTAAAGCAAATAAGCATAGACCAGGTTTAAATGATAGAATTATCCAAATTGCATGTTTTCCTCTCCTGAATGATACTGAGTATAGCAGAAATGCTCAAAGTTTTTTCTGATTATTATATGTACTTAATGTCCAGATTAAATGCATATAGTATAAAAGAAAGCACTTACTGGTTTCTGTCAATGAATCAGTTGACTATCTTTAGGTTTTACAAATTTTGCACACATATACAGCATATTTAGTCCTGATTCATGCATCTTTGGTACCTGATATAATAATCTAAAATAAATAGTTTTTATTTAACCAGAGTTAGTGATTTTTTAAGTTCCTTTAAGACTTACTTTCTCATGTAGTAATTGCTAGTATCAGTCTCATCCTATTAGTTCAGGCATCCTACCATTTCTTCTTGAAAGCCTACAATAGCTTGCTCTCTTAATCAAAGTTTGATTTTTTTTCTTCCTCTCTTCTCACCAAAGGTTGCTGCACACTTGTTCTCTCTTGAGTTGCTACTGCAAAGCCCACCATCTCTCCTCCCACCTCAGTATGACTAAAGTGAAGCCAGAGCTGAGACTCAAATTCTCTCCTGTCTCTGAAAAATCAAAAGAGACCTCTGATATCATCTTTCCACTTTACCTGTGATCCTGTAATAGTCACTCTTCTTTAGAGAAACAACCAATATATTATTAGATATCAAAGTGTAGAAGCATATTTAGGATTAGTGATTTTGAAAACTAAGATATTCTAAGAAGTCTGCAGTCATCAGGCTGGAGATCCCAGAACTGATGATACATTTCCAACCCAAGTTTAAAGGATTAAGAAGCAAGAGAACCAGTGATATAAGTTCCATCATAGTCTGAGTCAGAAGGCAAAGAAAAAATTAAAATGATGCTCCAGCTCCAAGCCAATAGGCAGAGAGGGAAAACTTCTCCTTAGACCTTCACCTTTGGTGCTACTCAGGTCTCTTATGGACTGGGTAAAGCCCATATGCACAAGGTAGGATAGTCTGCTTTACTCAGTTTCCCAAATCAAATGTTCATTTCACACAGCCACACTCTCATAAACCCACCCAGAATATTTAATCAAATATTTGGGCAACTGATGGCCCAGCCAAGTTGTTACATAGACTAAAACACTAGATGACACTCTCCTGTGCTCACTGAAATACATTTTCAAAGCCAGCTAGTATCAGTTTACACACAACGCCACCACTGGGGAGCCTATTTCATTTCTAGAAAGTGCTAACATCAAAACTGTATCCTTCTATGAATAGCAATTTTCTCCCCTCTAATCTGTGTTCATTGTTCTATTTATAGAGTTTTCTCCAAATTCCACAAATATGTATTATTTTCAAGATCTGTGACATGAGAGAGATGTACTCTAGGGAAGCAGTCCCTAGCGTTTTTGGCACCAGGGCTGATTTTGCAGAAGACAGTACTCCATGGATGAAATGAGGTGGAGATGATGGTTTCTGTATAATTTAAAGTAGCACTCAACCTAGATCTCCCTATGTGCAATTCACAGGAGGGTTTGCACTTCTATTAGGATCTAACACCCCACTGATCTGGCATAACATGTGTGATGGAAATAACCATAAATACAGATAAGTCTTCACCTACTGCTCAACTACTTCTGTGAGACCCCATTCCTAATAGGCCACAGATATGTACCAGTCCTTGATCCATGGGTTAGGGACCCCTGCTCTAGTGAATGAGGCCCTGTCTTAATTTAGATATAGCGTTCTTTAAAGGAAGTGGCCAAAATTGTTAGGAAGTTCCAATTTTCTCTGATGAGGAGTCTGTAGAGTAGAAACTTAATTTCTGCCACTTAATGGGACCCTATTTCTTTTTGCAGAGTGATCCCTCCTCCACTGTGTGGAGTCCAGGTAGGAGAGTAAATCAAGGATCCTAACTTTACTGAGCAAGTTACTTCTTTCCCACCTGGGCACAGTTAGAGGTTGAGCACATGACCTGAGCTGGGCTTGAGCTCCCGAAGTTCTTCAAAAGTGTTTTTCCCTTTAGTATAACAGAGTTGGTTTCTCTACTTATGGCAAGGAAACTAAGATAAGGGGTCTAATTCTGGAGGAGAAAGAAAGAAAGCTTACAAGCAGGATCTAAGCACATGAAGGAAAGAAGTTCAAAATCAGATGTTATCTATTATATTAAGCACCAGACCAGGCATGAGGAAACAGATAGAAAACATAAGTGATTAGATTTAAAATCCCATCTTGAATATGTTTAGATATATCTGTAAAACAGTTTAATTCTAAATATAAAGAATATTTACACCTCACTAAGAAGATAACTCAGTTTTTAAAATGGACTAGAGGCATGGACCTAGTTTTAGTCTTCAGCATGTGGAAAGTCAATTTTACTAGCACCATTTATAAAAGAGGCTGTCTACCTTCCAGTGAATGTGTTTGGCAAAGATAAGGTGGTTGAGTGCGTTTGGATTTGTTTCTGCATCTTCTAATGTGTTCCAATGATTAGATTCCAGGTATGTTTTCTTGACAGTACCATGCTGTTTTCAGCTTTGTACTATAATTTCAAGTCAGAGATTGTGAAGCCTTCTGCCTTGCATTTGTTGCTCAGGATTGCTTTTGCTATTCTAGATCTCTCCTGGTTCCATATAAACTATAGGAATATTTTCTCTACATCTGTGAGATATGCTAATGGTATTTTATCAAGATTGCATTAAATCTGTATAATGGTTTTGAGAGTATGGCCATTTTCATAATGTTGGTTTTTCCTATCTATGAATAAGGAAACATTTCCATTTTCTGTGATCCTCTTCAATTTCTTTTTTCAGAATAGATAGATCTTTTACTTCCTTTGTTAGGTTGATTTCTAAATATTTCATCTCTCTCAGTGAGTTTGTTGTTTGTATACAGCAGTGCTATTGATTTTTGATTGTTAATTTTGTATCCAGATTTGCTATTGAATATGATTATTATATCTGTAAGTCTTTTGGGGAAGTTTTGGGGTCTTCTAGTAGAGTATCAT